TTTAAAAATGATCGATGTATCCTACTAGAAATGGGATGAATGCCTTATGAATCACCATGTCAGACTTACAGACGCTTATAGATGTGCACAAGGAGGCGTTACTAATGCTTATGTAGATGGCCGTATGGTAAATGGTTGCCGAATATTTATTTAACTTCACTGAAAGTGAAATCGACCAGGTTGGGGCTTGGGTTGAGGCTGGGGGTGTGGCTGGGGGTGAGGCTGGGGGTGAGGCTGGGGGGTTATGGTTAGGGTGTGTGTTGTGTAACAAACGTATTACTGACCACACTCCTCTCTGTGTCAGTGTATTGAGGTTGGGGCTGGGGGTGAGGATGGGGATGGGGGTGAGGCTGGGGTTGGGGGTGAGGGTTGAGGTTTGGGGTGAGGCTGGGGGTGAGGCTGGGGCTGGGGGTGAGGTTGGGGGTGGGGGTGGGGGTGAGGTTGGGGTTGGGGGTGAGGCTGGGGGTGAGGCTGGGGGTGAGGTTGGGTTTGAGGCTGGGGTTGAGGCTGGGGGGTTATGGTTAGGGTGTGTGTTGTGTAACAAACGTATTACTGACCACACTCCTCTCTGTGTCAGTGTATTGAGGTTGGGGCTGGGGGTGAGGATGGGGATGGGGGTAAGGCTGGGGATGGGGGTGAGGTTGGGGGTGAGGGTTGGGGGTGAGGCTGGGGCTGGGGTTGGGGGTGGGGGTGGTGCTGGGGGTGAGGTTGGGGGTGGGGTTGAGATTGGGGGTGAGGCTGGGGCTTGGGGTGAGGCTGGGGCTGGGGGTGAGGCTGGGGGGTGAGGCTGGGGGTGGGGGTGAGGCTGGGGCTGGGGGTGAGGCTGGGGCTGGGGGTGAGGCTGGGGGTGAGGCTGGGGCTTGGGGTGAGGTTGGGGGTGAGGTTGGGGTTGGGGGTGAGGGTTGAGGTTGGGGGTGAGGCTGGGGCTTGGGGTGAGGCTGGGGCTGGGGGTGAGGTTGGGGGTCGGGGTGAGGCTGGGGCTGGGGGTGAGGCTGGGGTTGGGGGTGAGGGTTGAGGTTCGGGGTGAGGCTGGGGCTTGGGGTGAGGCTGGGGGTGAGGCTGGGGGTGAGGCTGGGGGTGAGGTTGGGGTTGGGGGTGAGGGTTGGGGTTGGGGGTGAGGGTTGAGGTTGGGGGTGAGGCTGGGGGGTTATGGTTAGGGTGTGTGTTGTGTAACAAACGTATTACTGACCACACTCCTCTCTGTGTCAGTGTATTGAGGTTGGGGCTTGGGGGGGCGCTTGGTCTCTAGCTCCATACTGCAGCGACCCTCTATACACTTCCAGCGGCTGCTGTTGTGGACTGTAGACCGGAGGGGGAGGGAAGCTCTCTGGAAACACACAGATAAATACACATCTCAACCTTAGGCATTCAACTCAATGAAGCAGAAAGGAAATTCCTTGCCGCCTTCTCAAAACTCATTGGAGGAGAAGGTCCGAAGGGAGGAGCCTCTCCTTTAATGCCCTATGAGAGTGAATCAAGGACAGGAGGAATCAAGGACAGGAGGAATCAAGGACAGGAGGAATCAAGGACAGGAGGAATCAAGGACAGGAGGAATCAAGGACAGGAGGAATCAAGGACAGGAGGCATCAAGGACAGGAGGAATCAAGGACAGGAGGCATCAAGGACAGGAGGAACCAAGGACAGGAGGAATCAAGGACAGGAGGAATCAAGGACAGGAGGAATCAAGGACAGGAGGCATCAAGGACAGGAGGAACCAAGGACAGGAGGAACCAAGGACTAGAGCTAAAGACTGACCATACGCCCTGTCGTTCCTGTTGCCATACAGAGGAGGAGGATCAACGGGCCGGAAGCCTTTCCCATTCGCCTGTTGACCAATGACGTTCTCCAGATTACTTCTGAGAAAGAGAGAGGTTCAGGAGGTGTGTGTGTGTGTGTGTGTGTGTGTGTGTGTGTGTGTGTGTGTGTGTGTGTGTGTGTGTGTGTGTGTGTGTGTGTGTGTGTGTGTGTGTGTGTGTGTGTGTATGTGTGTGTGTGTGTGTGTGTGTGTGCTGATACCTGATGTCGTACCGGTCTCTGCGAGGTTCAGGAGGAGCATTAGCATTGTGTTGGACAGCCTTGTCCAGGTCTTCTCTGATGTGCTCTGCCTAGAATAACAGACAGAACAATCTCCTATTTATACAGGTTAGTCTCATTAAGACACTGCTAGGTGACAACAGGTGTAGCATTAGCATTGTGTTGGACAGCCCTGTCCAGGTCTCTGATGGGTTCTGCCCAGAGGAACAGACAGAACCATTCTGGCTCAGGACACCTCATACACTACATCCCTACATCCAGGGCTGGAAGGGGGGTAGAGGAGGAAGTCATGGGAGCACAGTTCCCAACGTGAAATCATTTTGCCATGTATAAAGTGCATTATAAGCTGGGTTCCTGGTATTGTCACAATGGTGAATTCCCAGAGTGACTTTTTTTCTCATTCCAGCCCTGACTAAATCTATCCAAGATATTCTCCTTCAAAAAAAAATTCAAAAAATACTATATCCACTCGTTCACTGATGTTTCCCAGAGTCAGACTGTGAATTTACACACTTCACATCTTTACCCTGAAAAGGCCTTATCAGCATTAGTTGATGTTTTACGGTGAAATCTGTAACTTGTCCATGTACACTGATGTTAGGGTGGTGAAATCTTTCTCACTCACCCCGACCTCCTCACACTGGAGCATGAAGACCTGAGGGATGCGTCTGTTGCGTTGCTGGACCATAATGATGAGCAGGGAGTTGTAGGCACAGCTGTCCAACACTGCCTTGGTCTGAACTACACATCCCAGAGGAACAGACTCCAGCTCTGCCTGTAGAGAGAACAGAGGGGTAGGGAGAGGGTGAGCAGGGATTTGTAGGCACAGCTGTCCAACACTGCCTTGGTCTGAACTACACATCCCAGAGGAACAGACTCCAGCTCTGCCTGTAGAGAGAACAGAGGGGTAGGGAGAGGGTGAGCAGGGAGTTGTAGGCACAGCTGTCCAACACTGCCTTGGTCTGAACTACACATCCCAGAGGCACAGACTCCAGCTCTGCCTGTAGAGAGAACAGAGGGGTAGGGAGAGGGTGAGCAGGGAGTTGTAGGCACAGCTGTCCAACACAGCCTTGGTCTGAACTACACATCCCAGAGGCACTGACTCCAGCTCTGCCTACAGAGAGAACATAGAGACACAGCATTAGATTGCCTGGACACAGATGAGGTCAAGCTAATACAATACCACTTTGTTTAATTTGCATCATTAATATGGTATTCCAAACCCACCCCCTATATCACACACATGAATGACTGACTGAACTTTGATCTCCACAGGATAAATAGAGTGTCACCAGCATTCGACACAGTCAGGGACGACACAGACAGTAATGTCTGTTATTGACAATGCATCTATTACAGTTCCTTGGTCTCCATATACAAACAATAGATACATGTTGATACATTGTTTGGATACACAGGTGACAGTTGGCTACCTTGGTCTCCATGTCGATGAGATGGAGGCATCCTCCCTGGACCTCCAGGATCATCTCCTGTCCCCAGACCCGGCCCTGAGCCTCCAGCCTCTGCAGCCTGGCCACACAGTCATCCAGAGTACGCACCTCTTGGCCGTCCAAGTCGCGTGTAAACAGGTGCTAGAATGGAATAGAATAGAATGTGTTACAGGTGCTGTTAAGCAGAGTTATAGGGAGACATGACATCCTATCTAAATCTAATTGACATGCTCCAAGGATAGATAGAATGGAAGTTGTGGATATGTATGTTCAGTTTCTGAATGATAATTTACATTGCAGAAGAATAAATTTAAATTGTGCAGTGCTAGATGAAATATTTGATTGAACATTAGCTTAGTGGAATAGAATGGAATTGAACATGGCTAGTGCTATGAAAATGTTGAACATAGGGCCTAGATGACTAAAATGATGTCCGCATGGGTAGAATGGATAGATGAACTGTGATTCACTGTATAGCAGAGTTTATGGGCAGACAAACTCCATTTGAAGGGAGGAAACAACCTCCAGGGAACATTTCTCACACCAACACCGTCAACATAATTCGTGATGACCTTACCTCCACCGTGTACTGGAAGTTGTCCGGTTGTTTGTTCATTGTTTCTGAATACTCTTTCCTTTGCACTGAAAGATTAAATTGAACCATTAGGCCTAGTGCTTGGTGAAATATTGATTTGAATCATTAGGCGTAGTGCTTAGTGAAAAATTGATTTGAATCATTAGGCTTAGTGCTTATTGAAAGATTAAATTGAACCATTAGGCCTAGTGTTTGTGCACAAGATTGACTCTTAGGCTTAGTGCTTTGATATGAAGTCATTAGGCAAGTCTGGTGAATATGATTTGATCATTAGGTTAGGCATTATGAAATCATTATTGAATGAGGAAAATCTTGGAAAATGATTCAACATTAGCTTATCTTAAAATCATAATTGACCTACAGCCTAGTGCTTAGTGAAGTTGTCGGTGATTTATTCATAGTTTGAT